TGCGGGATAGGCATCATCGACGTCGATACAGGAATAATTGCTTTAACTGAAAAAATAACAACAAATGTGACATGTTCAACTAGTTCTATTAATTCAACTAGTTCTTACTAAAAATAAACTTATTATAAATAAAAATAAACTAGTACCTAATTAGTACCTAGTTCTTACTAACTAATTAGTACCTAGGAACTACTCTAATTACCATCTAATTTGATGAACCTGGGGGTGGAAAGTCGTAGCGGATAATCTAAAATATCCGATATTCGTATTCGATCGGATATTTCAATTATCCAACTTAAAAGTCAAATAGGTGGTCAAATTTTTACTCGTTTTATGATAAATCTTAGAAATTATTTGCATTGCAATATTGTTTATTCATAAACCTATTTACAATTGACTTATTGTATGTTTCAAGTTGAATACTTCGTGTCACATAGCTATTGACTAATACACTTAAGCAATATGCGCATCCAATTCGTTTCCACCCATAGATGAACCCTTACTAATTTGATGCAATTAAAATTTGAAGAACCCTAGGCAAAGGTAGGGGAGGGGGAGGAGCAGGCGTGCTCACCTCGGGTGCCTGCGGCGAGGGAGGGGCAGGCGGCGTCGAGGTCGGAGTCGAGGCGCGGGCGCGCGGCGGAGGGCGGCATCGAGGTCGGGGTCGGGGCGGCGTCGAGGTCGGGGCAGCGTCGAGGTCGGGGTTGAGCGCGCCGTCGAATCCGGGGTCGGGGGCGGCGTCGAGGGTGTGCGGAGAGCGACGGGAGAGCGCGCGGCGGCCGACTGGCGATGGCGGCGGCGACAGTGGAGGAGTTTTGATTTGGGTGAAGTGGCCGTAGGGAAGAACGAATCGTGTGGTTAAGTCAGAAGTAGCAGTAGCGCGTTCCAGAAAGTGCGCTACTGCTAAGTTAGCTATAGCGCGTTCCAGGATGCGCTACTGCTATTCCTTTCTCTCTTTTCCCCTTTTTCATTTATTTTTCTTTACATTTTTTTCTCCTTTTTCTATTTCTTTCATTTTTATTTACTTTTCTATTTGCTTTCCATTCAATTTTATTTTCTATATCAGTAGCACGTTTTCGCCTAAACGCGCTGTTACAAAGCTTGTAGCGGTAGCGCGGTTCTCCGCAGTTCGCTACTACTATGTGTAGCCCATCGGCTAAGCCGTGGGAATTTTTGTAGTAGCGCAGTTATCTTCAGGCGTGCTACTGCTATAATTTTATCTGTAGCGCGCTTTACACCAACGCGCTACTGCTACTTAGCACTAGCATGATTTTTTAAGACGCGCTACTGCTAAAGTTCTGTGTATAAGGTTTTCCCTAGTAGTGGTTTTGCTTATCACTTTGATCTGGGCCCACCTTCCGTTGAGATAAACCAGGGCAAATGATCAATCTACAAGGTGAAATAGAGCAAATGATCAAATCCTGATCCCCACGATTGGTGCGGAACGGAGTGTGAAGACGAAGAGGGTGTGTCGTGCGGTGTCGCTAAACACAAGGCAAAGTTGTGCCATTGGATGGCGTAGCGAAGAGAGCATTAGTGGTAGATAGTACTACTAATAGAAAACATGATTCAGGCGAACCCAGTGGCGGATCTAGGATTTGAAGTTACCAGGGACGGACTTTTGAAGGAAACAAAAAATCGAAGCCACAATACAATCAAATAAGACAATCAAGAAAATAATTGGCCAAGTGTATGCATGCAGGCAAGACGGTCAATACAATAAATTTATCAAAGTAGTTTACGTCTCAAGAACTAGGCCAAGACGACAACAAATTAAACATGATAGAAGATAGAACAGGATAGAAGACTAGGGGCGAGCGAAAAAACCTGGCCCTTGTTGCCTCTGTTGGCTGCTCGTTTCTTGTTTTGAGCAGGGACAGTGGCGACCACGGCGGCGGCGGCGACTCCGCTTCCCGTGTGGATGGCATCGCGAACAGGCGGACTCGCTTCTCCTTCTCCATCTAGCACCATCGGCTGGACACACCTGGGCAGCGTCGGCGACTGTGAGACGGCAGTGGAGGCGGCGCCGCGTCGGCAGGGCGTGATCGCTCGAGGCGTCAGTTCAGGACGATCGGTTCCACCATCGATAGAAAAGTATATTGTGTACGTGAAAATCAGGCTGCGTACCATAGCATAACTAATGGGCTCTTCTAATTTTTATTGGGCTTACTACTTGATTGGCCCATCTATAGCTAGCGAGCAGTTACCTGCCCAATCGTTTTCCTCTTCCCTCGTCGACAACTGAGACCTGATTCCTTCGAGCGAACCTTTTTTTTTTAAGAAAAGGTGTCGGCCGAGCCCGAGAAAAGGCTCGAACCTAACCCGGCTTTGAATTTAACAAAGCCATCAACCGGCCAGGATTACAAGAAAGCGTACAACATGATAGAAACAGAAACGGCAAAGATACAGAGAGCTGTAGCAGCTTACGACCTATTTGTGATACAGGCAAACAGGAGATAGTAATAGGAGCCTAGCCAAGATCACCAAGGTCAGACGCCATGAGCAAAGCCACACCAGCAGCAGGGTGAGGGCAGGAAGAAACCAGCATCGATAACCAACATCTACTCGCCTACTCCCGCAGAACATGCCAAGGTCGACAAGCCACTCGCTTCTACCTCCGAAGAAGACAACAATCCTCTCGCCCTGGCTCGAAGGGCGCCGAACCGTCGGAAGGTAAAGTGCTCACCCTAGAGCCGAATGGGCAATGCCGCCTGGCAGCTCGGGCATGAGGGAGCAGAGCAGCTCCTCTGCTGGGATTCCACGACCTCACCACCACCTGGGCAGCCACCCAACTAGACGCAAACTGAAGAGCGCCTACACAATATGAAGACCGCACGGAGAAGACGGGGAACAAGGAACAGCTCGCCGCCACACTGCCCTCACCAAGAAGAAAAGCACCATCCACACTCCACGAACCCCAGACGACGCCTCCAAGAAGGGAACGACGTCGACACGCCGCCGCCGCCCACAAGGGGATCTAGGACTTTCGCCCCATGCAGGAGCGTGGAAGAAGGAAGCAGACAGGGATCTCGACGAGGCCTCCAAGAAGGGGACCGACTCCAAGAAAATGGAGACGGCCTCGCCGTAGCCACCAAAGGCCAAGGGTTTCCCCCGGTCCCACACTCCACTCCCAACCAACCGAACCCGAGAGCACGAGCCAACGCGACAAAGCCGCCATGGCCGGATCAGGCCGTTGGGTGCATCTGCGAGCGGAGGGAGTCGATCTTCACCAGGCAGAGCACGCCCGCCACAACCTCGTCGCCCGCACGACCGAGGTTGCGGTACAGCCCTCGCGGCCGCCGCTCGCCGTAGAGCCGGCGCCGCCCTCACAGCCCGGGGCCGCCGCCCCGGCATCCACCCACCACGAGCATCTCCACCAACACAGGGAGCAGCCCCGGCACCACGCCAGAACGGCGGACCAGACCACCACCACATCCACCGGGGAAGGGGGCCTGCGGCGCTCAAACACCCCAGATCCAGCCGGAGGGCAACCCCAAGAACCGGAGCAGGGGCAGCACGCCCAGGCCGAGCAGAGGGGCCACAACCCCTATTCGTCCCCCCGCCGGTCAAGAGAAGGACCACAGGCCGCCACCAGCGCGGATCTGGAAGGGAGGCCACCATGGCGGCCAGACGGGCGGCTAGATCTCAAGCCACCCCGAAGCCGGCCGGGGCGGCAGCCGCCATGGCCAACGCCGCAGAGGCCAGATCCGGGGCCGAGCACCGCGCCAGGAGAGGATGCCGGAGAGGAAGGGTCGCCGTCGGGAGGAGAGATGGGGCGCAGATCCGGGCAGGGGAGCACGCAGGGACGCCCCGCCGCCGCCAGCAACCGCACGGGCGAAGCCGGGACGGCCGCCGACGACGGCGGAGGGAAGAGGAGGCGGGCGGGGGTGCCTGGCGCCGGATCTAGGGGTTCGCCCCCGAGTCGCCCAGGAGCGGACGACGCGGGGGGGGGGGAGGGGGGAGGAAATGGCTTGTTCCCTGTCCTTCGAGCGAACCTGCTCGCCTCCCATGGTGGCCGCCGGGCAAAATCAGTAGGAGGGTACCCTAGGTTTCGAAAATTTACCCGGGGCGGCCGCCCCTACACGACCCCACGGTGGAGCCGCCCCTGGGCGAACCAACCTATGATTAGATGGTTAGGAGGATAGTGGTCTCTCCGGTTCATCAGAGGTCAAGTCCTACACTTCACATTGGTGCTCACATTTTGTTTTAATTAACTCCATGTCTTTCGGTGATGTGCGTTCAGTGGGAGAAGACGTTCATGTCGATTACGAAGACGTGTGTAGCAACTTCGTCAATCTCAAAATGATGTGACAGCTCAGTCTCTCGAAGGAGCTCGTAGGAGTAGGGTGTGCATATGTGTATGCGCGCGTGCATTCATAGGGATGAACGTGTATATGCATATGAGTGTCAGCTGTACCATGTTAAAATAAAAACCACGGTTGAGCCTGGCCCGGTAGAACTTGCACCGGCTAAGATAAACCTACACACCCGCAGACCCCGAGGAGACGTAGCGTATCTACCCTCCTACGCTAGCTGTTCTTCTCGGATCCCTTGATATATCAGAGAGCTTCACCAAACCCCCAGTTAACTAAGATTATATTCCCTTAATTCGCGTGAGCTTAGCTAGCAAGCACATGCATGGATATGCATGAACACCAGCATGCGCCCACCAATCACATGCGCCGGTGGATCGTCACATGCATTAGACTGATTCGACCCGACAGCCCCACTAATTAAGCAGAAAACAAGAGATGGGAGAGGAGGACAGAGGTCCTAACATGGTCCTCTGTTCTACGCTAGAAATCTCGATCGGTGGTTCCGCACTTCCGCTGCACGTTACCCCGCCGCTGCTAGGCGCCATCGATCGCCTATAAAATTGGTCAAGACGCCGTGTGCTGAGCCCATCCATCGATCCGCGCTGACCCCTGTCGTTGGGTGTTCCACTTTGCTTCCCCCACTAGCTAGCTAAGCTCCATCTGCATCCATCTATCCATCCTCCCATGGCGTCCGTGAAGCTCGCCGCCGTCCTCTTGGCGTGCGCCGCGCTCATGGCGACGGCGGCGGCGTACGCGCCGTACCGGCCGGAGCCCGAGCCCTGCAAGACGCAGGCCATGTACTTCAAGAACTGCCTCCTCCTCGTGAGCGAGTGCGAGAAGTGCTGCACGGGCGTGGTGGCCGACCCCGCGTGCTACTGCGAGGTGGAGCGGGAGGCGTTGATCGACTGCGCGCCCGGCCACCACTGCAGCCGCGCCGACAAGAAGATCAAGATCGCCGAGATGAACCTCTCCTGCATGAAGAACCTCAAGTGCAAGCATGCGTGATGGCCGGTACGGTACCTTAGCTGCAGCTTCCTACTACAAGTATATCTCGTCTCTCGTTTGTGTGTCCATCTCCGAGAGTTGATGTGGACTTTGTGGTCTGGCTTTGTTCCCACTATGATGATGGTTGTGTTGTGTCGTACGTCCCTATGTAAACTTTGGTATTAACAACATGGTGCTTGATCTAAAACTATCCACATCATCGTTGTTGTACGCTTCTATCATGTACTCCTTCTATTCAGAAATACTTCTCAGAAAAATGGATAAAAATGGGTGTATTTAGAACAAAAATACATTTGGATACATCCATCTCTTCGGCAAATAACATATATTTCTCCACAAGTATTTCCAGACAGAAGGAGTAGTACTTTGTTTGTCGATATCATGCATGTCTACTATTCTCCTTCTTCGGAGATCAAGGCATTTACCCCCACAAAAGTGTGTAAGTGTTCTTTTGGATTTCTTATCATCGTTCCCAAATTCACATTTAGAACGCGTCAGTGCCCTCTTTCGCGTGCATTTTCTCGGTTGACAACTTAGAATCAAGATGGTTTCCAAATTCGTACGTCAGCGTCTAGAAACCGGATCCAAACTTGTATATAACACATGGTACTCTAACACTATCAGCCCAAATCACGTTTTATATGGTTTGAGAAAAAAAATCAACTGTATCCTGTGATATTGCATGTTGCTTTGTATTCTAGTGCTGGCTTCCATTATATGATAGTAGTGTACATCTTTTGGTGACAACAATAATTCCTACACATTCTTTGTACTATGAGCTAATGATCCTGCAAGTCTAACATTTTGTTAAAGCTAGGGCCAGGGCGTACCTTATCAACCAAAATGTAGCACTAAGAGGAAATGTACCAATAAAAGTATATACACTTGGTGTTACAGTGCATTGGTGTAAGAGTATCAATAAGATTCTGGTACTCGTGTACAGGGCGTGTATCAATAACATATTGAGATTGAGAGCGGCGATTCAGCGCCCGAGCTGAGCTCAGGCAAAATCAAAAATTCGCAAAAAATAGAAAATAAATTCAAAAAAATCCGATTTTTTTTTGCAAGCAAGATGCTTATGTGTGTGTGATCTTCATGTAAATTTTGGTAGAGTTCTGACATTTGAGGAGTGCGCGACAAAAAAGAAAAAATTTCGCTATGTGAGTAAGGTTACTGTTCACGCACTGTTCTGACCGGTTTTCTCTTTTTTGCCATGAGCTCCACAGATGTTCAAATGGGATGAAAATTTACACGCACATCATGCACTCGAACATCTTCCATTCAAATAAAAATTCAATTTTTTCGATTTTTTCCCTATTTTTTATTGCGCTACTGTTCACCAGGTTTATCTAGACCTGGGCACCGAATTGGATATTCGATTGAGATTCCCCTAAAAAACATTTTGATACTCATGTTTGTGTATAGTATTAGTATCGATTTCCGAGTGCTACGGTGGTCCTGGTGGTTTGGTTTGTTTAGACTGATGTGTACTGGCAGCGCTCGAGCCCGGGCACGTACAGGTCCCTGACCCATACGGGATAGTTTTCCTACCCTAGCCGCCGCCACGCCAGGCGACTAGGGAGGCGATTTTCTTCCTCCGATCTCAGCCGGCCAGGGCGTTGGCCCCCTCTCCCTCCGGCTGCTCCGGCGGCGGGAGGGAGGGGGACCCCGTTCCTCCGTTCTGTAGTTAGGTTTTGGATTTGTAGGTCATGGTGCGCCGTTGGGGTGGTGGGAGCGGCGCCCGGACGAATAAATCTGCCTCAACTTTACTCCCACACCGGCGGTGCCGTTGATGGCGACGTCTCGGAGTTGATGGCATCGTGTGATTGCCGATTCTTCAGATCGGCTGTGTTAGGGTTCATGGGTGATGTTGGCGAGGCGGCGGCGACGACTTCATCAGGTGTGTCTCTCCTTCTGCTCTGTCCCCGTTGTTGTGGCGTTGTCTCCGACGTCATGGTGGAGCCGGAAGGTTTTGTCATCCAAGAGTACGTGCAGACGGTTGTTTGCGCAAGTGACAGCTGGAAGATGGTGCATCCCGTGCTGGGTTTGTGGTTGGTGGCTGACAGTTCTGGTTTCCTCCTTCGACGTCGTTGTCATGCGGGGGTGTCAGATCTAGAGTTCGATGGCGTGTCCGGGGACATGTTGCCCCGGTCTGATTCTTTCAACGGCAATGGTTTTCCTTCTGGCAAACTACTTTCGAGGTCCGTAAAGCTGCTGATCAGCGATGGAGCCGCGTCGAGCTCGGGTGAAGAGGTGATCTTTTTCTTTTCCTTTGGTGGTCGCTTCGGTGGTGTCGGAGGAGAGGAACAGGCGCTGGTATTATGCATAGGATTATCCTATCTTTTCAGTACTGTAATGTCGGTGCTTACGTGCCTTGTAACTGGATCTTTATTTTATAAATAAGACACGTATTACCATGCAAAAAAAAAAAGACTGATGTGTACTGCTTGTTTTTTTCCAACAAAAAGGTGGTTTGTGGAGCTACAAAATTGTCGAAGGCTAGTCTATCAAGAACCACAAATATGGATAAATGTCATGTGTGTATGCATACTAATGTTTAGTAGATCGTAGATGTAAAAATGAAGGTCGGGTACAAAGCCAAATATAACCACTAAACGCCACAAAACTAATCTTTGGCCGTCTCATCGACAAAAGTCCAATCTCTAATGTTCTCCCACACACTCATGTGCCACTCCATGAAAAATCTATAGAATACAAAAGTAGTTAGTGAAATTTAAGAAATACAAACATATTGGGCATTCATCATCGGCGACGTATGAGCCACCCTCCGCAAGAGTCGGAGTACAATACCCGGAGGAGTCGCTACTTTGACTCTCACGCTTGCGACCTTGCACTTTTGGTTGTCACCTTCGCCGTGTCACGGCTTGACTGTCGCACACCGACTCTCCTCGAGCTATCTCTCTTGCCTGCTTTTTTTTTTCTTTGAGAGAGGTCTTGCTTGCTTTTGGTGGTCTAGTCTCAAAGCTAGTTATCGCATGGGCCATAGTAGCACGCGCATTAGAAAGGCCTATTTGGTGCTTTGGCTGCTTACTGGTACAGGGCGCCCACGTTCGTTCCTACTGGGCCGGCCCATCTAGTCGTAGTGTGTTTCCAGTTTTGACATAAGTTCCCAACCGATTTTGCTAAGCTTCTAGAAGCTTCTGGCCGGTTTTAAAACTTTCCAGTAGCTCCAGACAAATTTTGTCTATTCTTTGATTATTTTTCTTTATTAATTTTCAAATTCATTATGTGCTAAAAAATTAATCTTTTTAAATTAATGAACATTTTTCAAATTTGCAAACATTTTTTAATTCGCATACATTTTTTCCAATCCATGATTCTTTTCAGATTTGAGAAACTTTTTAAAGTTCAACTCTTTTAAATGTGCAAGCACTTTTCTAATTCATGAATATTTTTGCATGGGTTCTACGTTTGCTGAATCAAAAGCTAAAAATGAAAAAAATGATTGCCATACAGCGATAGAGAAGGAAGATCTTCAAGAAGCATGTGAGTTAGATTCACTAAAGAAATGAGTTTCCTAAAACTCGGTTGACCGAGATTTAACCAAGTTTCGGTCGATTGCTTAGTCAATGGATCTCTGTGTGGAGATTCATGCTAGACTAAGCATCTTCCAACTGACCTCGCAGCATGTCGTCCCATCAGTCGCAACGTCCATAAGTGATGGTTGCAACATGTTGTCTCACCAATCACAGTGTTCCCCTCATTGCTTGCATCATGTCGTCCCATCATCCGCAGCATCTGCCATCGCCTTCATATACGAGTGTGCATAACCACTAGAACTAGTCGACTGTAGTGATTGGTCGTTGATTTGGTCGTGTTCATTGTGTCGTTCCTGCTGGCGGTGAGGTACGCCCGCTGGGCGATGAGTATCAACCAATTCGCGTCCCACGGCCAGGGGACATCGACGAAAGTCGACCAAACGCGCACCCCCGTGCTCACTAGGTGAGTTGGGTCGGCCCAACGCATGATCCCTCTTTCGGTTTTGGGAAAGCTCTAGAACCTTTCTAAACCTTTGTTTGTTTTTCATTTTTTTTGTTATTGTAAGTGCATCTAGTGCCCCTTAGTGATTTTGGTGTATTGAAGACTTATAGGTTAAGGGACTAATATGTTTGTGAGTATACACATGCTCTATAAGTCGATGAAGAGTTTGATATTTACAGTGAAAGTCGACCCCTAAAAATGAATGTCTTCAGCTGAAGACTTTGGTTCTCCTGAAGACTTTGAAAGTGAAGAAATTGGTGTGACTTTGAAGACTTGGATATCATGCGAGGATTATGAAGCGTGAAGATTTTTGTTTTCATAGTTTCATTTTCTCTTTCTTGAGTCATAGGAAACACCATACTGTTAAAGGAGGTCGAGGTAATACTAAGGAAACTGATTTCCAAGTGATGCCCATCTCAAAATCTTACACCTACCCAATCCTTTCGAGTGAAGCCATTGGAAATCTCATATCAGTTCAGTCAATTTCTTCAATGACAGAGACGAAGATGTTCTGGTCTCTGAGGAATTTGTTCTGACTGAGGAGTTAGGAATTATCTGAGGAACATGATTGCCTTGAGGAATTCGAACCTCAAATCCGACCGTTGCTGTGCTACGCGCCAGCTGTCCAAAATATCTTACCAATCATTGAAGGGCATTTATGTCTTATCATGTCGGGCTGCTCCTACAACCACTAGTTGGTTGGCTGCTTCGAGAGAAACCGACACTTGTCAATTGAGAGCATCCCATCCTCCGAGGACTTTGAGCGAAAATCATCAAGTGAGAAAACCCCAAACCCAAACCCAAACACCTACAAACCCAAAGTGATTGAGCATCACTGAAGAGATTGTTCCTGTGTGGAAACCGACACTTGTTATCTTTGAGGACTATGTATCCTCCAGACAGTTAGGCGTCATGGTCTGAGCATTCAAGAGGAATTGTGGATCGCTGAGTGACTAAGTCTGTGAATGTTTGGAAGTCACCTGTGAAGACTTACCACG